AATACTGTGGGGTCCTGAGGCCAGTGGTGGGTTCTTGAGACCAATAAGTGCGTACTGTGGCCATTGTGGGGGAGGGGAGCACTCCTGAGGCCAATAGAGACCTTGGATAGGGGTGTCCTGTGCCTAATAGAGGGGGTTCTGAGGGTTTGCTGGGGCCGGGGAAGCTGTCGGACCAATGAGGATGGAGGCCAACAGAAGAGGAGGAGAAAGAGGGTCTCTGAGGCAGCCTGTGTACCTCGGCGATGGCAGGTAGTGGGTACGCAGTCTCCTTGTCACAGGCTCAAGCCTTGTCATCTGGTCTGCACTTTGAGACAGCTACTTGAAACACAATTGTCTTCTAGTCCGATAAAAGATCCCACAGTCGCTGTTGGATAGAATGGGGAGGTGGGGATTCCTCTCCGCTGTCTCAGCCACTATTGCTAAGAACATAGTTATTCTAGGCAATGACCACATCGCTGTTGAGTGCCTGCTGACTTGGTGCTGACCCACCGACAGAGCCCGCTCGGGCAATGACCACACCGCTGTTGAGTGCCTGCTGACTTGGTGCTGACCCTCCGACAGTGCCCGCTCGCCCCAGCGCTGACCCTCCGACAGTGCCCGCTCGCCCCAGCGCTGACCCTCCGACAGTGCCCGCTCGCCCCAGCGCTGACCCTCCGCCAGTGCCCGCTCGCCCCAGCGCTGACCCTCCGACAGTGCCCGCTCGCCCCAGCGCTGACCCTCCGACAGTGCCCGCTCGCCCCAGCGCTGACCCTCCGACAGTGCCCGCTCGCCCCAGCGCTGACCCTCCGGATAATGTAGCAAAATGTGTCAGAGTTGAAAGAAAGCAAGCCAGATTAGTTGTAGTTGAGTGAAAACCTGGAGGATTTGGTCAGCATCTGTGTGGAGGTGAGCACGATTTGTTTGGAATTTGTGTAAGAATTGAATTTGGAAACTGTTCACCCAGTCTCTTGATGAGAAAATGGTCAGCTTGACCAATTTCCTCGTTTGAGATTGCGTGTGAAACATGGGGGGGAAATACAGCCGCCTTCCGTCCAATCTCCTGTTTTCCCTCCTTGTTTAAAATGGAAATCTCTCCTATTGTTGTGCCATAGTCTGTGAGTGTGGACAGCATGAGGATATGGTGTTGTAGGGACTGCGGGAAAGACTGAGCATTGAGAGTGGATGGGCGAGGGGTGCCGGGACGCGTGATTGGGGCAGGCGAGGGGAGCCGGGGCGCGTGATTGGGGCAGGCGAGGGGAGCCGGGGCGCGTGATTGGGCAAGGAGTAGCTCCTTGTCGATTCTTTGTGCAGGGTGATCCTTAGAGCAGAACAGGACAGACAGGACAGTTGACTTATTATGAAACAGATTTGATAGATCGGGGAGTTGCCCAGTTTCTGTCTTGTGCCATTGAGTCGTGGGGCACGAAGGGTAGGCTGCCATGGCGTCGTGTTGCGGGAACCTGTGTTGTTTATCGACCGGTTTACAACGGAAACCTTGGGAATGTCCAGCAGAAGGTTTCATGTCCCCTCAGAGTTCCCTGCCTAATATGGAAAGCCCCTTCCCTCCCCAGAAACAGCATCTGCTCATGCTACCGGTCTCCCAGCAAAGGTTCGTTGGCTCAGACCGGGCCAGAGAATGGAACTGGCCCCTCGCTTCCCTGTTTTGATCGGGTGGGTGCGTGCTTTTAGTCTGCGGCCCAGGCTTTACACCATCAATGTTCTGAGTCTGATAGGACAGCGTTTACATTGCATTTGTTTGAGACCGGGCCTGGCTTTTCTCGCTCAAGGCTGTCTGTGATTCCCATAGCTACATGAGGTTTGCCTGTTGGAGGGTCAGCATCAAGGCGCACCGCACTGGTGGAGTGGGTCAGCGCCGATGGAGCGGGCGCTGTCAGGAGGGTCAGCACTGACGGAGTGGACACTGTCGGAGGAGGTCAGCGCCGGGGGAGCGGGCACTGTCGGAGTGCCTCAGCGCCGAGGGAGCGG